TATATATATATATATAATTTGTTCCTGGTACAGTGTGTTCAAGACACTTTGGGCAGAGGCTCCTGAGAAAGGCTAGTTTAGGATATCAGTAAAGGAAAACAGAACCATCAGAAGCCAAGAAGTGCGAGTCCAAGCAGGTGAGAAGCAGCACTGATCAACCCACTGTGGGTCTCTGTACCTTCTCTCTAATTCCTTAATTTCCAGTCAGCTTGGTGGCATTAATTTGATTATCTACAGTTCAGCTGTTCACGTTACAGGGAGAGCTAATAAAACTTAAAAAATGATATACCCCAGTTTTACAGAAAAGCCTCATTACAATGGGGAAAAAAAAGCTATGACATTAAATTCTTTAGATTATCAAATAAAACTGGTTTATCAATTGCTATGCAGAAATATTAATGCAGGGTACTTAAAAATGTTCTTTTTCTGCATTTACCCCCCTGCCCCATCACCTTAAAAACTACTAGTGTGAAGAGTAAAGGAAATGGCAGATGAGCAAAGATGGTTGCCTATCTGGTTTTAACCATCATATATTTGTGGTGCCCAAATAACTAAAGCTTTAATACAACCTTAATTCGATAAGCAACCTGGAATGGAGGAAAATTAAATCTCTCACAACTCATAAGCGGCTATTCACATTACCCAAATAAGATTTTAACTTTACTTTCATAAATGTAAATGCTACACATGGTTACTATCAAAGTACAGAGCATACCATTGAGACTGACTCAAAGCAAAATACAGTACAAATTTATTGACTCCAATCATTCTTAGTCAACATTTAAGCAAAGTAAACAGACAAAAGAATTGAATACAAATAAGCAATGGATTAACATTAGATAGAAATCCTACTTTACCATGAATTTTCAGTTCGAAAAAGCTTATTCCTAAGTAAAACTGAAAAATGACTTACTCTGCTAAGGCATATGACAAAATATACAGAATTATAAAACCATTCATTTGTTTTTCTTTTAACCATAAGCATATATTCAACGGAAAACTTGAAATAGCCTTGGACTAATGTTCTGAAAATTAGTAATAACTGAGTATAATTGTGTGAAAAATCTGGACAGCACTAACAAATGATGAAAGAGCACTGAATTCTGTTATTTTAAAGATTTACAGTAAAATGCTTTGGTTCCCAAAAGACTGTCTCTAAAAGGAATTTTTAAAAACACCTGACATTGTAACTCATTTTTTCTCCTCCAGAATCTAAACACCGACTTTGTCTTCCCCCGAGTCACATGGGAATGCCATAAGCTGGAGTACCTGCTGAGATGCACTGAAAGAGCATATTAAAAATTACAAAAATTAAACTTCTTAAAGTGCTAAAACCACAAAAAGCCATAAATGAAAACCTATTTTTTAAAACTTAAAGTTTAGTAGTCAGTGTTAAAGAACACTTTTAAAATGTGTTAGCATTATTTAAATCAATAATGCATTTCACAATTATTGCAGAAACATCACTGAGACATCGTAAATTGACAAACTGACTTGTAATCCAGTTAGATAAAATTTATACAGAAATCTATTTGGAATTATACCTAATTACTTTTTACTAAGAAATTTCAAATAATTTTACTTCTTAAAGTTCCAGATTACAGTTGTATACACGCACGCATGCACGTGTGTACAAACCCAATTTGAGGCAACAAAGGCCAACTTTAGATCTGTTAATTCTCACATCTCTCCCTCACCTTGATCAGACAGTTGGCTTTGTAGATGCAGCCACACTGTACCTCCGTGAACAGACATATTTTATTCCTGTTTCACAGCAGCTATTCTCATTAGCACCATGGGACTACATATGGATTCAAACGGTCACTAATTAAGTGCTGGGGCATATTTTTACTGGCAAGGCTATAAACATTCCATTCCAAACCAGAATACCAAGAACATCACATATCTCCCCACAAATGTAAAGAACATCACTGTTGAATTGTTAGTTGTATATTCTGGTAAATTTATAAATGCATACTAACTAGTTTTAAAGGTGAATATTCTACAAATCTTCAAATATTACTGTTAAAATGCACAATATTTGTTACCTCCATTGCTTACTTTGAGTGATAAAAACACGTTTTATGTTACTCCCTCCTTCTCCCACATAAAGAAAATGATTCAATATCAAGTTCTCAGATTAACAAAGAATATATTAAAACATTTTACATTCTTTCCACAACTGCATAAAAAAGCAGGCATCCTGCATACTTACATGGAATAAAGACCTTTCTACATTTTCAAAATTAATTACAATCCTAAAAGATATTTACATGAATATCTTCACTAGCTAATGAGTTGCAACAATTTAAGACCAACTTGTTTTACACCAAGTATTTGCCTACTGGCTGAGATAAACATTCTTAAAAAACTTTACTGAATAAAGTAATTAACATATCTTTCATTATTTTACTTCTTAACATTTAAAATAGTTACATGAGTGGAAGCATATTTTTTTTGACCACCAAAATAAACTCTTTCAGCCTAATGCTTTTAAAGTACAGTATAAAAAGTAATAGAAAAACCAGAACGGCATTATAAATGTTTTTGGTTCAAAATTTTATTTGAAATCTTATATTCCTTGCTTAGACAAAAATGTGAAGACAAAACACCATTTTTAAAATCTAACAGATATGCAGAACCTATGTTTAGATCAAAAATATTTTTTTTTTTTACTGATTAACAATATTATTTTTTAAAAATCTTCAAAAATGTAGCATAAAGGTTCAAGTCCTGGGATACTGAATTTATAATGCCAAGATACTCTGTATCATGGAATTATCACCAATAGATACTCTAATGGCCATGTAGGTGATGATCACTCAGGGAAACTGTCTTCTTCTGAAGTGACAGCTACTAAGATGGTCAGAGTAAGAAATACCACATTATACGGGGAATGAATTCAATGTACAATAATCCATCCTGATGTTTCATGTAAAGCCATATGCTTTAGTTTTATCCTTAAAATGCATAGATTTCTTTAGGAAAACAAAGATGGCAAGAATCAATAACTGCAATTTATTTTCCCTTCTCCATCAAATTTAAGAAAGAATAGGAAGTAACTACTAAAATGTGGAATTTTGGAGTTTTTTCAAGTGAAAGAATACAAGGCAAAATTTCATATATAATATCTATAATGTACAAAGTCAATCAGTATTTTATAAAAATGTCTGGTTCAATAAAAAAATGAGAATTCTCTTTCCTCCCAGTGGGATGGAATGTTGGCAATAAGACTGATGGGTACGGAGTTATTTTCTGCTACAGCACAAATTTAAATTTATTTCTTAATGATAGTAGTTGACTTTTTAAAAAATTTTGAAAGAATACCTTGTAACACAAACTAGAGTCTAAATTGGTATTACTTTCTTAAAAGGATTTTATAGTTTCATTTTTTTAAATACATCTAATTCCCACCCCTACAAGTAAAAATTTTCCCTTTTGAAACACCACACTGAACTTTGGATATCCTATTGAAAGGCTTTCAATTACAAATTATACATAGTATTCTCTGAAAAGCTCAAAACCCACAGACCAAAATAAGTAGCGAAAACTAATTTTGGACCACTGATAGTGCTTTAATATCTATTTCTGAAATATTAAGCAATGATGTAGAGAATGGCCTTGCTGATTTTAACCACCAGACCACCAAAAAATTCTAACAGAAACTGTCACAAAAGAGAGGCAGGAAAATGTATATGTTGTATATATTGTTCTTGAAAAGCATGTTGAAACTGCAGTGAGATGTTTCTCCTCTGCTCTGAATTATCTAGAAGTAAATGGTAATTTAGAATTTTAGATCAGCTGTGCTAACTCTTGAGTATCTGGGATCTATTTAAATATATGTCCCGACCTTATTTTTTAGACTAATGTTAAAATCAAAATTAGTGCCATATGGTTAGCTTTGTTTTTGGTCCTAACTACACTCAGATTTTCAATTTGTGACAGCATAAATCAGAGGAAATGAAACATCTGCAGTCCTTCAAATGCTGGTCTGAATTTAGACTGTGGTGCAGTGTACATGTAACATGGTACAAGTTTTTATCACAATGTCTATCACTACTGAAACCCTTATAAACTGACTGTAGGGGACTTCCATAAATTGCGTTCATTTCCCAGGTCTTCCTTAGAGTTTATCGTTTATTATATTGGCTGAAAGCAAGTTTTTGTTAGTTTATAAAGATCTAAGTGTTACTATTGCTGATTTAAATTTCTCACAATTGTCATACAAAAAGAAGTTCTACATGACCACAAAATACCAAATATTTATTTTTATCAAGTGTCAGGATAACTTATCAAAGTTGAGATTTATCTTTTATTGCTAAAGTAGTCTAAGATACAAATCAATACAGAAAACTACTCCACTTCTTCCTGATATATTTTGGACTTAAGAACATGGTTAAGATTTAACTAGAACTCAAGTGTCTAAAATAATCAAAAGAAGGAATACTTTGATAGTATTCCACTAATTACAAATCAGTAAAAAACCAAAAACCTCAATTAAATGATTATATTGACACCATGGAATGAGGAACCATGCACACAATCAAGACTAATCAAATTTCAACATTAACGAAATCAAACCATCTTGTTCTTGTAAGGTCCAGAATCACAATATTTTAAAAGGTGTATTTCTAAAGTTGATTAAGGACTTTACTAAGTAATTATCAATTTGTCTCAAACTTAATTTCAAGTGTAACAATCTCCAACCTTTATTATTCTTGTTTAAAAAATATTTTGTTTCTTATGACACATTTCACAATTCCGGTTGAAATCTGGGGACTGCCTCCCATAGGTAAAAGTGTTGGTCTTTCAATTGTGTGTTTGTTCGTGACTCCAAAGACTAAATGCAGTCTTGAATGTCCTGTGGCAAAGTTTACACATAAACTGTCTTTTAAATGTGATTGCTGAAAGGGGTGGGGCATGGTAAAAAAGGGTGTCTGATTCTTGGGGCACAAACAGTTTTTCTGTGGCTGGAGTTGGGTTTTCGGACAGGCCTGTGGGGCTGTCAGGCTCCAGAGGCTGGATCTTGGGCAGTGGCGGTGGCGGTGGCAGAGGCGGTGGAGAGGGAGAGTTTGTGGGAACAGGGCACACCTCAGATTCCTTATGTGCCGATTCCTCTGAAGCCTGAGACATGTGCGACTGGAAGTGACTCCAGAGTCGAAAATTAGTGCGAAAAGCTTTGTTGCACACGTGACAAATAAATGGTTTCACAGAGCACAGAAGCTCCTGGTGACGCTCCAGCTGCTTGTGCACTGTGAACATCTTCCCACACTTCTCGCAGGGCCACAGGCTGGCTTCTTTGCTAGGACCTGCTTCTTTGGGGGCTGTGCTGGCCTCGGGTGCCTCTTCCTCAGCCTCCTCCACAGGCTCCTCTTTGACTTGGATTTTCAGTTGCTTGGAAAGACTAAGATCTTCAGGGAGACAAGAGGAATCTTCCGAGTCGAAGTTAACTTGTTCTGAAGAATCACTGAACACGTTATCATCTTTCGTGGTGACGATGTGGTTTACTTTATTGGGCTCAGGGTGGGACTGGGGCCTTGAAGAACCAGTTACATCACCATTGTGGTCCAAAACGGGCAAAGAAAAGTTTTCGGTGGGTGCCATGTTGTTCTGATTATGGACTTCAACCTGGTGCCGCCAGATGCTGAAAGAGGACTTGAAGGTGCGCATGCACTCGAGGCAGGTCAGCTTCTTATACTCACACTTGCTCTCGTGTTCTTGCTTCAGCTCGGGCGAGAAAAACCTGAGGCTGCAGTAAGGGCAGACGGCCGCGTTCCGGCACAGCCGCTCGTGGCTTCCTTGCTCTAGGAGAGAAGAGAGCTTAGCATTACAGAGACGGCACTGGTAAACCTCCTTGTTTTCTACTGGACTTGCAAGAGGAGCATGCTCTTTTGGTTTAGCAACTTTATTTACTCCAAGGGGTTTTTCTCCTGGATGCATTTTTATGTGCTGCTTAAATTGAGAGAGAAAGCGGTACGCTTTTCCGCAGTAAGTACAAATGTAAGCTCCTTTGGCTCGAGATCTCAAGTTCCTCTTGATGACTTGCTGCGCTTGGGAGCTACTCTGTCCCTGAAAACCAGGCTTGCCGCGCCTTAACTTAATGATCAGGGCCTTCTTAATTTCTCTCTCTCTCACTATGTCAATCAGCTTTCTTTGGAATTTTTCATCCAAAACAGCATGTGAACTAGAGGCTGGTGATGGGTTCTTCACTATGCCGTGTTGGGTCTGACAGTGTGTCCACACTTTGAAGTTGGTGTGAAACCTCTTGTGACAGATGTCACAAGCGTAGGGCTTTTCTGGGTTATGGTACATGTTAACATGACGGTGAAGACCTGCTGTTGATCTAAAGATCTTAAGGCAATGTTTGCATTTAAATTTTTTGTTTGGTCTCGTCCCCTCCAACTCACCAAATTCGTCTTTATTCAAATCAGAATCTGGAAAATCTGCATCAAGGATAGTAGGGCTTGAGCCTTCCTCAAAATTATCTTCTGACACAGGAGACCCATGCTCATTCACCTTTAACTTCTTAAACGGCAATCTTCGGTCCGCTTGGAACCTCCTTTTTGCTGGGAGTCTGCTCATGTCTTTTTGGTCATCTTCTGTTTTCAGAGACAGGTCTCTTGTGACCGACGAAGATGAGGCAGCTGCTGTTGCTGCCGCATCTCCCACAGTGACGCGGATGATGTCCGAGGGGTCCGACAGCGGGCTGCTGGGCTCGGTCTTTATGCGCACCTCAGTCACAGGGGAGGCTCCCTCCCTGTCTGTTGACTGAGAAGCACTAAAGGACCTGAGGCGATGCGGTTGTAGCACTTGAGGCCTGTCATCTAGGGCTGTTTTTTCACTACAATCTTTTAAAGATGACTTTTGAGATAAAGCACACAACACATTCCCTGGTGCATCACTGGACACCGAAGATGATCCCTGGGAAGATTTCAAATCTATGGAAGGTGAATAGATAGGAACCTGGCTATCCATCGACAAAGACCGTCTGAGGAGACTCTTAACAAGTGGGCCACTCCTGTCAATGCTTTGGTTTCCAGAACCAGATCCACTGGATGGGATCACTAAGCCTAACTTTGAATAATACAACAAGTTTCTATCTTCACCTTGACCATTTCCTTTGTTAGTTTCTTTTAATACATAGGGAGTCTCTGATGAGCTACAAAGAGACAAAACAGGTGGCCGTGGTCTCTTCAAAGCCAGCTCTAGAGCTTTTCCTTTTGGAAGGTGACCACTCACACCTGGTTTATCATCCATAGCTTCTCTGTCTTGCAGAGGCTTTGAAGGCAATACTGCATTTCTTTTCACCAAACTGATTCTATTAGGATCATCCAAAGATCCAGAATGCTCAAGAGACTTTGCATATCCCACAGAACTATCTTTCGGCCAACTCTTTTCAGTTAATGACAAACTATGAAGCGGTTCAATTGGTTTTGGGACATGTGGCTTATTGGTATTAGCCTTGACTGCAATGCTAGGAGAGGGCCGGGAAGTATGGCTTACATCAGGTTGATTTTGACTAACAGTTTTTCCTTGTGCTTCGTTTCTACTTTGACAAACAATGACACTTCTCTTTTGAGAACTGTTTTCATCATCTTCTACAAACACTTTTTTTCTATTAGGACACGTTGGAAAGGGGGCTTGAGGTGTTTTAGAAACGATGTTTGTCAGAAAGGAAATCCCAAGACTATAGCCAAGTTCTTGCACAGCAGCAAGGCTGCTCTTCTCAACAAATAGAGAGGAAGAATAAATGTAGTTTAAAACATTATCAAAAGCATCTGGCTCACAGAAGTCAAGCTGAAATACAGCTTGTGACTCATTTTCCTTATTTGTGAATAAACTCTGAAAGTATTCGCTGCTGGCAGCCAAGACATTTTTATGAGCTCGGAACTTTTGGTCTCCAACAATCAGCAGCACATCGCACAGCTGTCCTTTGAGACGCTCCTCATTCAGGGCACTTAGGAGAGAAATGGCGTGTGCGGGGTTGATGTAATGCAGTAATCCCTCCATGGCTTGAGTTTATCTAAAAGACAAAATGTAAAATTACTACAGATATTGCAGTGAAAAGTTCCCTTGGAATGAAGGGCTCCTCAAGAGCAGGGAACATCAGCTGTCTTTGCAAAGGTACCAATATTTAGCAGACCGTAGGCTGACAGAAGCTTTATGAATGAACAATCTTATTTAAATAATGGTGAAAATGTAAAATAAGTCTTGTGGTTTAAGTAGGTCCTCATTAAAACAGAAGAATTGCAGGAACTGTAACATAGGCATTTGTATACCATCAAAAAGGCTGCCAGAACTTGGCAGGTGGATATGGAAGCAATATTTGACAATAAAGGTTTATTATTTAGGGTCCTTATCCATTTGATGCTTGGCACTATTCCTTATCAATTCAGAAAACAAGTATGAATTATCAAAACCCCTGAAGTCTATAATTTTGACAGAAAATCAGCTTTATTACTACATATACTTAAACATAATGTGAACTGTTAACAATTGGTTGCAAAGCAGGTCTTGTGAGACCCTTATTTTTTATTTTGAGATAGGGTATCTCTCTGTCACCCAGGCTGGAGTGCAGTGGCACCATGATGGCTCACTGCAGCCTCAACCTCCTGGGCTCAAGCAATCCTCCCATTCAGCCTCCTGAGTAGCTGGGACCACAAGCATATGCCACCTCGCCAGGTGATACGGTTTGGTGGTGTCCCCACCCAAATCTCCTTTTGAATTGTAACTCCCACAATTCCCACATGTCGTGGGAGGGACCCAGTGGGAGGTAACTGAATCATGGTTTCTTTCTTTTCTCTTTCTCGTGCTCTTCTCATGACAGCACAAGTTCTCTCTTCCCTGCTGCCATGTGAGATGTGACTTGCTCCTCTTTGCCTTCCACCATGATTATAAGGCCTCCCCAACCACGTGGAACTGTGAGTCCACTGAACCTCTTTTTCTTGTAAGTTACCCAGTCTTGGGTATGTCTTTATTAGAAGTGTGAAAATGGACTAATACAGTAAATTGATACCAATAGACTGGGGCACTGCTGAAAAGATACCCAAAAATGTGGAAGCAACTTTGGAACTGGGTAACAGGCAGAGGCTGGAGCAGTTCAGAGGACTCAGAAGAAGACAGGAAAATGAGGGAAAGTCTGGAACTCCCTAGAGACTTGCTGAATGGCTTTGACCATAATGCTGATAATGATATGGACAATGAAATCCAGGCTGAGGTGGTCTCAGATGGAGATGAGGAATTTGTGGGGAACTGAAGCTAAGGTGACTCTTGTTATGTTTTAGCAAAGAGACTGGTGGCATTTTGCCCCTGCCCTAGAGATCTATGGAACTTTTAACTTGAGAGAGATTATTCAGGGTATCTGGCAGAAGGAATTTCTAAGCAGCAAAGCATTCAAGAGGTGACTCAGGTGCTGTTAGAGGCATTCAGTTTTATAGGGAAGTAGAGAATAAAAGTTTGGAGAAGTTGCCGCCTAACAGTAAAAAGAAAAGAAAATCCTATTTTCTGAGGAGAAATTCAAACTGGCTGCAGGAATTTGCCTAAGTAACGAGGAGCCGAATGTTAATCACCAAGACAATGGGGAAAATGTCTCTAGGACATGCCAGAGACCTTTGCAGCAGCCCCTCCCATCACAGGCCCAGAGGTCTAGGAGGAAAAAATGGTTTCGTGGGCCAGGCCCAGGGACCCCTTTCTGTGTGCAGCCTAGGAACTTGGTGCCCTGTGTCCCAGGTGCTCTAGCCGTGGCTGAAAGGGGCCAAGGTACAGCTTGGGCCATGGCTTCAGATGGTGCAAGCTCCAAGCATTGACAGTTTCCATGTGGACACCTGTATGTCCAGGAAGAAGTTTGCTGCAGGGCTGTGTCCCTTCCATGAGGGACAGGGCCCTCATGGAGAAACTTCCGCTAGGGCAATGCAGAAGGGAAATGTGGGGTTGAAGCCCCCATATAGAGTCCCCACTGGGGCACTGCCTAGTGGAGCTGTGAGAAGAGGGCCACCATCCTCCAGACCTCAGAATGGTAGATACACCGACAGCTGGCACTGTGTGCCTGCAAAACCCATCGACACTCAATGCCAGCCCATAAAAGCAGCCAGGAGCGGGGGCTATACCCTGCAAAGTCATGGGGGCGGAGCGGCCCAAGACCATGGGAGCTCACCTCTTACATCAGCTTGACCTGGATGTGAGACACAGAGTCCAAGATCATTTTGGGGCTTTGAAATTTGACTGCCCTGCTGGATTTTGGCCTTGCATGGGGCCTGTAAGCCTCTTTGTTTTGGCCAATTTCTCCCATTTGGAACGGCTGTAGTTACCCAATTCCTGTACCCCCACTGTATCTGGGAAGTAACTAACTTGTTTTTGACTTTGCAGGCTCATAGGTGGAAGGGACTTGCTTTGTCTCAGATGAGACTTTGGTCTGTGGACTTTTGAGTTAATGCTGAAATTAGTTAAGACTTTGGGGGACTGTTGGGAAGGCATGATTGGTTTTGAAATGTGAGGACATGAGATTTGGGAGGGGCCAGGGCGGAATGATATGTTTTGGCTGTGTCCAAAAGCATCTGGCTCACAGAAGTCAAGCTGAAATACAGCTTGTGACTCATTTTCCTTATTTGTGAATAAACTCTGAAAGTATTCGCTGCTGGCAGCCAAGACATTTTTATGAGCTCGGAACTTTTGGTCTCCAACAATCAGCAGCACATCGCACAGCTGTCCTTTGAGACGCTCCTCATTCAGGGCACTTAGGAGAGAAATGGCGTGTGCGGGGTTGATGTAATGCAGTAATCCCTCCATGGCTTGAGTTTATCTAAAAGACAAAATGTAAAATTACTACAGATATTGCAGTGAAAAGTTCCCTTGGAATGAAGGGCTCCTCAAGAGCAGGGAACATCAGCTGTCTTTGCAAAGGTACCAATATTTAGCAGACCGTAGGCTGACAGAAGCTTTATGAATGAACAATCTTAAATAATGGTGAAAATGTAAAATAAGTCTTGTGGTTTAAGTAGGTCCTCATTAAAACAGAAGAATTGCAGGAACTGTAACATAGGCATTTGTATACCATCAAAAAGGCTGCCAGAACTTGGCAGGTGGATATGGAAGCAATATTTGACAATAAAGGTTTATTATTTAGGGTCCTTATCCATTTGATGCTTGGCACTATTCCTTATCAATTCAGAAAACAAGTATGAATTATCAAAACCCCTGAAGTCTATAATTTTGACAGAAAATCAGCTTTATTACTACATATACTTAAACATAATGTGAACTGTTAACAATTGGTTGCAAAGCAGGTCTTGTGAGACCCTTATTTTTTATTTTGAGATAGGGTATCTCTCTGTCACCCAGGCTGGAGTGCAGTGGCACCATGATGGCTCACTGCAGCCTCAACCTCCTGGGCTCAAGCAATCCTCCCATTCAGCCTCCTGAGTAGCTGGGACCACAAGCATATGCCACCTCGCCAGGTGATACGGTTTGGTGGTGTCCCCACCCAAATCTCCTTTTGAATTGTAACTCCCACAATTCCCACATGTCGTGGGAGGGACCCAGTGGGAGGTAACTGAATCATGGTTTCTTTCTTTTCTCTTTCTCGTGCTCTTCTCATGACAGCACAAGTTCTCTCTTCCCTGCTGCCATGTGAGATGTGACTTGCTCCTCTTTGCCTTCCACCATGATTATAAGGCCTCCCCAACCACGTGGAACTGTGAGTCCACTGAACCTCTTTTTCTTGTAAGTTACCCAGTCTTGGGTATGTCTTTATTAGAAGTGTGAAAATGGACTAATACAGTAAATTGATACCAATAGACTGGGGCACTGCTGAAAAGATACCCAAAAATGTGGAAGCAACTTTGGAACTGGGTAACAGGCAGAGGCTGGAGCAGTTCAGAGGACTCAGAAGAAGACAGGAAAATGAGGGAAAGTCTGGAACTCCCTAGAGACTTGCTGAATGGCTTTGACCATAATGCTGATAATGATATGGACAATGAAATCCAGGCTGAGGTGGTCTCAGATGGAGATGAGGAATTTGTGGGGAACTGAAGCTAAGGTGACTCTTGTTATGTTTTAGCAAAGAGACTGGTGGCATTTTGCCCCTGCCCTAGAGATCTATGGAACTTTTAACTTGAGAGAGATTATTCAGGGTATCTGGCAGAAGGAATTTCTAAGCAGCAAAGCATTCAAGAGGTGACTCAGGTGCTGTTAGAGGCATTCAGTTTTATAGGGAAGTAGAGAATAAAAGTTTGGAGAAGTTGCCGCCTAACAGTAAAAAGAAAAGAAAATCCTATTTTCTGAGGAGAAATTCAAACTGGCTGCAGGAATTTGCCTAAGTAACGAGGAGCCGAATGTTAATCACCAAGACAATGGGGAAAATGTCTCTAGGACATGCCAGAGACCTTTGCAGCAGCCCCTCCCATCACAGGCCCAGAGGTCTAGGAGGAAAAAATGGTTTCGTGGGCCAGGCCCAGGGACCCCTTTCTGTGTGCAGCCTAGGAACTTGGTGCCCTGTGTCCCAGGTGCTCTAGCCGTGGCTGAAAGGGGCCAAGGTACAGCTTGGGCCATGGCTTCAGATGGTGCAAGCTCCAAGCATTGACAGTTTCCATGTGGACACCTGTATGTCCAGGAAGAAGTTTGCTGCAGGGCTGTGTCCCTTCCATGAGGGACAGGGCCCTCATGGAGAAACTTCCGCTAGGGCAATGCAGAAGGGAAATGTGGGGTTGAAGCCCCCATATAGAGTCCCCACTGGGGCACTGCCTAGTGGAGCTGTGAGAAGAGGGCCACCATCCTCCAGAACTCAGAATGGTAGATACACCGACAGCTGGCACTGTGTGCCTGCAAAACCCATCGACACTCAATGCCAGCCCATAAAAGCAGCCAGGAGCGGGGGCTATACCCTGCAAAGTCACGGGGGCGGAGCGGCCCAAGACCATGGGAGCTCACCTCTTACATCAGCTTGACCTGGATGTGAGACACAGAGTCCAAGATCATTTTGGGGCTTTGAAATTTGACTGCCCTGCTGGATTTTGGCCTTGCATGGGG